CTAAATATATATTAATGTTAACAAAAGATAAATAAATTATTTAACATGATCAACAAAAAAAGGAAATGTATGTTTGGTACATTATTAAATTCTACCATTAATTTTTGGTAATATCTCAAAATTAAAATAATATTGTAGAAAACTTTTGTTATATATTTACTACTAATGATTTTTAAATTGCTAATAGTTTTACAACTTCCGATGTGAGATATATTCTCTAATAAAATGATTCTTGCAATATCATTTATTTTCATAAAAACTTTCGTATTAAAATTTAAAGCCTTTCCTTTGAACTTTTTTGCAAATCAACTCAAATGATTCGTATATCCAATAATCAATACTTTAATGTCTCGCGGATTGCTAGAAAATCGAATAAGAGAGAGTATATTAACTAAAAAATGCGTAGACGTGTATTCTAAAGGTCCATAAATACCCATACAGGTTCATGTATCACAAACCTATGCTTCCATCTCAGGTAAAGCTCTTTCCTTTAATATCTTTTACTCTTTCATCTGAAAATAGTTTTTAGAATATGGTTGTAACAATTTTTGTTCGCAAATGCAGGTAATATTAAGATTGATCAAAAGCAAGCAAAAGAGATGGCCCAAAAGGTGGACGCACGAGGAGGAAAAGGTGGCAACGAATGGGATGATGGCACGTTCGACGGTGTTAGAAAGGTATATGTAGGCAAAGGCCAAGACTGTATAGCCTACGTCAAGTTTGAGTATGTCAATGGTTCTCAAGTGGTGGTTGGAGATGAACATGGATATAAGACATCGCTAGAAACTGAGGTACTGCTAGTATATATTTATATATTTAGATTTTTGGTCAAGAAGCTCTTTTGTTGATTTGTCTTTCGTATTGAGATCATTGTTTGGAACTTTTGCAGTTTGAGGTTGATCCAGATGACTACATCGTATTTGTGGAAGGTTACCGTGAGAAAGTTGATGGGGTAGACACAGAAGTCATCACGGATCTTACATTCAAGACTTATAAAGGCAAAACCTCTCAACCTATTGAAAAGAAACCCGGGACAAAGTTTGTGGTCCAAGGTGGCAAAATCGTCGGGTTTCACGGAAGTTCGACGGATGTTCTACACTCTCTTGGGGCATATATTGTCTTGCCGTCCACTACGACATTGCTTGGGAAGTAGATTGAGGTAGTAATGATCTCTTAGACCAATAAAAAAATAGTTTGATTGCGATTAATCAAAGCTTAAATTAATTAAAACAATATTTAACGTATTATCAATTTATAAGGTGGAGCAAAAAGGAGAGGCTCGAGGGCTAAGATGCTCACATGGCATAGCACAAGTAGGAAACAAGGTTTACTCCTTTGGTGGCGAGTTCACACCAAATCAGCCCATCGACAAAGACCTTTACGTCTTTGACCTCGAGACCCGGACTTGGTCCATTGCTCCAGCCACCGGAGACGTTCCCCACCTCTCGTGCTTAGGCGTCCGTATGGAGTCAATTGGATCAACCCTATATGTCTTTGGAGGCCGAGACACCTCCCGACAGTACAACGGTTTCTACTCGTTCGACACGACCACGAACGAGTGGAAACTGCTTACTCCTGTCGAAGAAGGACCCGCTCTTCGTAGCTTCCACTCGATGGCAGCCGATGAGAACAACGTTTATGTTTTCGGTGGAGTGGGTGCTACGGCTAGGATCAAGACACTAGATGCTTACAACATCGTTGATCACAAGTGGAAGCAATGTTCGACCCCGGGAGATTCCATGACCGCAAGAGGAGGAGCCGGGCTCGAAGTGGTGCAAGGGAAGGTATGGGTTGTGTATGGATTCGACGGATGTGAAACAGATGATGTTCATTACTACGATCCTGTTGAAGACAAGTGGACAAAAGTGGAAACACATGGTCAGAAGCCTTCAGGGAGAAGTGTGTTCGCTAGTGCAGTTATTGGGATATACATAGTGATATTTGGAGGTGAGATTGCCATGGACCCACTAGCTCACGTGGGTCCAGGTCAATTGGTGGATGGGACTTTTGCGTTGGATACAGAGACGTTGGTGTGGGAGAAGTTGGATAAGCTTGGGGAAGAGGTGGTGAGTCCGAATATCAGGGGGTGGTCCGCGTCCACGACTGGGGCCATTGATGGTAAGAAAGGGCTTGTGATGCTTGGTGGCAAAGCTCAAACCAATGACCGGTTTAGTGATCTCTTCTTTTATGGAGTAGACTCTGCTTAAACGCTTTAAACGCCATTTTATGATGGTAACCGTTGCTCAAAAAC